TGGCCCCTAGCTGCCCTTCAGGTCTGGAATTGAACCCACACCTGTGGTTTCCAGCCAAACAAAATACAGGCATAGGAGTTGAACATTTACCTCAGTTAGATACACTCCTTGGAGAGAACAACCATGGGAGAAAGAAGGGCTGCTTATGCACAGGGAGACAGCTCAGGGGGCAGCAGTGCATGGAGGGATGGACACTGGGAAGAGAGAACTATGGGGAGGAAGTGGAAGGGGAGCTGTTGCATTGTGGTAAACTGTGGTCAATGTCATGAGACAAAAGTATATGTGAACCGCTGTATGGAATGTGAATTTGCTCTGTTAATCTTCACCCAAATCACAATAAACAAATAAATAAAATGAAAAAAAAAAAAAAGTGAGAGCCAGGACAAGAAGAGACATAATGCACACCCATGTTCATCACAGCACTATTTACAGTGGCCAAAAGGTGGAAACAACTTAGGTGTCCGTCATCTGAAGAATGGATTATCAAATTATGGTACATACACACAATGGAATACTATGCAACCCTAAAGAATAATGTAGAATCTTATGCAAAACACCACATAACATGGATGAACTTGGAGGACGTTATGCTGAGTGAAATAAGTCAATCACAGAAAAACAAATATTGTATTAGTTCATTACTGTAAAAAGTCAAGGAAAGGTTTATATATGGAAGGAAATTTTCTTTGTTGGTTACCAGGCTGAGAAGGGAGGGAAGTGGAACACTGTTAGATAGGTAGAGACAAGTATTGATTTGGGTGAAGAGAAGGGGACTGTACCAAATGTGAGTGATCAACATGGCACTGAGGAAGAGGAAGACAGAGAGAGGTACATGGGAAGTACAGACAACAAAGATGAACCCTTTTGCATATACGGTAGTGCATTGTCAATGAAGGCAAACATGGATATATGGGTGGATAGATGGGTGGACAGGCTGAACTATTAGGTATGTCTATTCAGGGGGGAGTGTGCCCATGTATAGGGTTGGCAGACAATGTTTCTACAAGTGTATTGCTATGTTCTGTAAGAATTCCCAGGTGTATAGTAGAGCTGACAAGGGACAAGATTGTAGTCACTTCTTGGGCACAGCCAGCTACCCCAAGGGAACAAGTAGTTGGACCTGTGGGCTCAGGACCATAGTTTCAGGGGACATCAAGCTCAATTGGCATAACATACCACACAAAACATTGTTCCACCTCCTCCTTTGGTGAGTAGCAACTGGGATCTTAAAAGCTTGCAAGCAGCCATCTAGATGCAATAATGGGTGCAAAGAGAATGAAGAAAACCAATGATTCATGGAAGCAATTAGTCCAAGTGACTGGTACACCATGCAATCCGCAGCCTATATTATTATGAGACCAGAAGAACTAGATTGTGCCTGGCTACCACTGTCAACCACTTGGAGTGGGATCTATGGAGAAGATCCTGGATAGAGTGAGAGGACAATGTGGAACAAAACTCAAAATCATTTGGAAAAAAAGGAAAAAGACCAGGTTTGCTGGTCTGATAGAGCCTGATGGAACCACTGAGACTAGGGCCCCTAGCTGCCCTTCAGGTCTGGAATTAACCACTCCTGTGGCTTCCAGCCAAACAAAAGACAGGCAGATGAGGTAAACATTTACACTAGGTATATGCACTCCTTGAAGGACTGTGTATGCACTGGGAGACAGCTCAGGGGGCAGGAGTGCATGGAGGGAAAGACACAGGGGAGAGAGAACAATGGGGAGGAAGTGGGAGGGGAGCTGTTGCATTGTGGTTAGTTGTAGTCAATTCATGAGACAAAGTGTAGTGAACTGCTGTATAGAAAGTGAATTTGCTCTGTAAACTTTCACCCAAATCACAGTTAAAAAAAAAAAAAAAAACCAACCTTATGGGGGCATAGTTGTGGATATGATCAAGATATAACTTAACACCTCACAGGATTAAATTACTGGGTTTGAAGGCTTGGGGCCACAGTCTTGTGGGACAACTCAGTTAATTGGCATAACATAGTTCATAATGTTTTATATACTAGTTTGGTGAGTAGTGCCTTGGGTCTTAAAAGCTTGTGAGCACCTGTCTAAGAAGATACAACTATTGCTTCCTGTTTGGAATAAAGGAGAGTGAAGGAAACCAGATGCATGGAAAAAGTTAGTCTGCAGGACTGGTGGCTCATGAGAACCACAGCCTCTTCTAATCTGAGATCAGAAGAACTAGATGGTGCCTGGCTACCACTACTGACTTTTCTGACTAGGGACACAATAGAAGGTTTCAGTTAGACTCACGGAAACAATTAGTCCAAAGGACTTGATAACCCACATGAACCACCGCATCTTGTAATCCAAGACCAAAAGAACTAAACAGTGCATGGCTACCCCTACCACTCACTCTGACCAGGGCCACAATAGTTGGTCCAGCTTACAGTGGGTAAAAATGTAGAACAAAATTCAGATTTAAAAGCCAAACAAAACCAGAATTATCATCTGAAAGAAATTGGAGGAACCCTGAAACTGTTGCCCTAAGATAACCTAACTTGAAACTGAAGACACTCCCAGAAACTGCCTTTCAGGCAATATTAATAGGTCTATACAATAAACAATAACACCTGGGAAGAATATGCTCCTTAGAACAATCAACTGTATGAGACCAAAAAGGCAACATTTGCCCAAAACCAAAGTTGAGAAGGCAGGAAGGGATATGGAAACTAAATGAATGGAAATGGGGAACGTTGGGAGGAAAAAAGGAGCCCTGGTGGCTTAGTCCCCTGAGGCATTTGACTGCTAACCAGAAGGTTGGTGGTTCACACCCACCAGCTGCTCCATGGAAGGAAGATGGCGCAATCTACTTCAGTGAAGATTTACAGCCTCGGAAACTCATTGGGGGTCACTGTGAGTCAGAAAGTACTTGATGGCAGTGAGGTTTTTTTTAGGTTCAGAGAGGAAAAGGGGAGAGTGCTCACACATTGTGGGGATTGCAGCAATGTCATAGAACGATTTGTAAATTAATTATTGATAGGAAAACTAATTTACTCTATAAACTTTGACCTAAAGCACAGTAAGCTGTTCAAAAAAAAATTATTAAACGGGAACCTACTTTGCTATGTAAACTTTCAACTAAAACAATAAAATATTAAAAACTAAAAGAAAGACAGGAACAGAGCTCATTCAGAATCCTGGTACTGCCTGTATAGCTGTTTTTAAGGAGCCCTGGTGGCACAGTGGTTAAGTACTTTGGCTACTATTCAAAAGGTTGGCAGTTCAAACCCACCAGCTGCTCTGTGAGGGAACAGAGGGAGAAAAGACCTGGTGATCTTGAAGACCTGCTCCTGAAAAGATTAACCCACCCACCTGCTGCCATCGAGTTATTTCTGACACATAGTGACATTTTTTGTACAGAATAGAACTGCCCCATTGATTTTCCAAGGCTGTAAATCTTTACAGAAGTCTACTGCCTTATCTTTCTCCCTTGCAGCGGCTGGTGGGTTCAAACTGCTGATCTTTTGGTTAGCAGCTGAATGCTTTAACCACTGTTCCACCAGCGCTCCTTTCCAAAAAGATTACAGCCTAAGAAATTTTGTGGGGCAGTTCTACTGTGTCATACAGAGTGACTATGAATTAGAATCAACTGGCTGGCACACAAAAACTGTATAGCTGTTTCTGGATAGAATGATTCTATTGTATGTGGTGTAAGTATTTAAAAAATTCATATCTGTTTTGATTATTTTATCTCTGTGTGGAAAGAAAAAAAATATGTGAATTTAAATTGTACTTGAAATCATACTATGCAGCATTATTATTTGGTAGATATGTTACGTAATTGTATTCCTGTTTTGAAATAGGAATTCTGTTTTGAAATCCAAATTCTTGTTAAATTTTGAGAAATAATGTAGTAGCAGACTAGTAGATATACATGAATATAGAATATTTTCATTTAATGAACAGACAAGAGCATCAGTCTTTGCTGGAAAAGTTATCTGCACTGGAGAAGAAGGTAATTGTTGGTGGCGTTGATTTGTTGGCAAAAGCCGAGGAGCAAGAGAAACTTCTTGAAGAATCTAATATGGAACTGGAAGAAAGGCGGAAAAGAGCAGAACAACTTCGCAGAGAACTTGAAGAAAAAGAGGTAATGTGACTTTTTGGTTTGGTTTAAATCTTTGTCTAAGATATTTAACTTTTCTAGTGAAAAACTTAAATACCCCTCATCTTAATGAAATTTTAAAGATTATGGTTTGCTTTGAAAGATAATGGTTGCTAAACATTTGTATCATATGTAAAATAAGTTTATGATTTAGTGAAGACCATTACTCTGAAATTTACCAATTTTTGTCATAGCAAGAACGCTTGGATATTGAAGAAAAATACACCAGCTTGCAAGAGGAAGCCCAGGGAAAGACCAAGAAATTAAAGAAAGTTTGGACTATGTTGATGGCTGCAAAGTCAGAGGTTGGTGTCTTAAAATTACATTACTAATGTAATTCTAAATTTTTTAAAAAAAGAAGTTTCTTTGATTAAGATGAAGACTCCTAAAGGAATCATAATGTGTTCTTATAATTTTTTAATTTTATTTTATTGTGATTTGGTTGAAAGTTTACAGATCAAATTCATCTTCCGTACAGCAGTTCACATACACTTTGTCTCATGATGTTGACTATAATCTCCCACAATGCAACAGCTCTCCTCCAACTTCCTCCCCGTAGTTACCTCTTCCTGTGTCCTTCCCTCCCATGCACTCCTGTCCCCTGAGCTGTCTCCCTGTGCATACACAGTCCTTCTATTCTCCCATGATTGATCTTTCCAAGGAGTGTATCTACCTAATGCAAATGTTCACTTCATATGCCTGTCTTTTGTTTGGCTAGAAGCCACAGGAATGGATTCAATTCCAGACCTAAGGGAGCTCCCGAAGGGGAGCTCTAGGGGCAATAGTTTCAGGTATTCCACCAGGCTCTATCAGACCAGCAAACCTGGTCCCTCTTTTTTTTTTTTTTTTTTTATGATTTTGAGTTTTGTTCCACATTGTTCTCGCACTCTATCCAGGATCTCCTACATAGATCCCCCTCCAAGTGGTTAACAGTGGTCAGTGGTAGCTGGGTACCATCTAGTTCTTCTGGTCTCATAGTCATATAGACTGAGGATTGCATGGTGTACCAGTCCCTTGAACTAATTATTTTCATGTGCCTTTGTTTTTGTAATTTTAAAGAAATAAATATTTCCCTCTTATGAACAATTTAAAGTTTTAGCTATTAGCTGAAATTATTTTCATATATTAATAACATGGACTAGATAGTGATAGACAGTCTCATTCCCTCCAGTGTTTCTGTGAAAGAACTGTGTAAGTTCTCACAAGATTTCTAGACCAGTGCCCTGTTTCAGACAGAGCTGGGTTTTCTATTCAGATCTGTGTATTTATAATATTTTCATGACTTTTCTGGTAGATGGCCGATCTCCAACAAGAACATCAGAGGGAAATTGAAGGCCTACTAGAGAATATTCGACAACTGAGCCGGGAACTTCGGCTTCAGATGCTTATTATTGATAACTTTATACCTCAGGATTATCAAGTAAGAGGGATGTTTTCTGACCAAAATATTAGTTTACTTGGCTGGTTAAGGAATAAGGAATTATAATTTCTATTTTAATTGATAATAAATATTTACATCTCATTTATTAGTTATAGCATTTGCTTGGACTAATGCTATCACATTTCACTTCATCTATTTTTCCTAACACCTGATTTTCATTTGAATATTTGAGTATCCACATAAGAATTTCTCAGCCCTCTGGAGGTATTCAGATTTATATAATTGCAACCAAGATTGAGGTTATTCATTCATTAAATATCCTTTATCATGTAAGTAGAATGAACAGAACCCCTGTGCTGACTTTTTTCCCTGCTTAAGGATGTTAATCCTTAATACTAGTATAATTGAAAAATCTGAGCTTTTTTTCTTTATTCCAAATTTCCATCTTTCCAATATATTTTTATAAAGTTTAACATACTGATTTTTTGAAAAATCTAATTTGAATCTCAATACAGCTTTAAGAAGTATATCTAAAAAAGAAGCCTTGATATTTTGTTACTCTTTGGACTGCAGGAGCAGCACAAAATTGGATAAGTAAATCTGTCCTTGGTTTATGACATATCTCCTTATTGGTCCTATCTGGATGGCCTGGATTTATTTAGTTAGTTATTTTATAATGAACTCTTGTGACCTCACCATCTGAAATAAAAGCTAGGACTTCGGCAGTAACCTACTTCTAACCTTCCTTTATTCCATCCCTTTGTCTCTTCCAACCCAAGGTAACCATCTCGCATCCCATGTTCCTCATTCCCTTCCCTTTCTTTTTTTTTTTAGATTTACTGGATTCTTTCTATTTTATGGATACTAATTCTTTGTTGATTATATGTGTTACAGTTATCTTCTTTTTACCTTATTTATGCTATCTTTTATTGACTGAGCATAAGTTTGTTTTTTTTTTAATTTTATTTTGATTTGGGTGAAGATTTACAGAGTAAATTCACTTTTCATACAGCAGTTCACATATACTTTGTCTCATGTCATTGACCAAAATTTACCACAATGCAACAGCTCCCCTCCCACTTCCTCCCCGTAGTTACCTCTTCCCAGTGTCCATCCCTCCGTAATCTCTTGCCCCCTGGGCTGTCTCCCTGTGCATAAGCAGCCCTTACTTCTCCCATGATTGTTCTCTCCCCTTCCCTTTCTTTTTACGTAGTTTAACTGTGGCTGTTTGTATTCTTAAAAAGTATATATATTTAAATTTTAGTTGATCAATTTATAAAAAGGGTATCATGTAGTATATAACGTTTTAAGACTTAGTTTCTTCACTTAATATTATATTATTGTGATTTTAGTCCCATGATTATTTTTCATTCTTAATACTTAATATTAAGTACTAATATTAATATTAGTACTTAATATTATTATCATTTTTAATATTTAAATATTAAATTATATTAAAGTAGACTTTAACTCTTTCAAAGGAAATGATTGAAAACTATGTCCATTGGAATGAAGACATAGGAGAATGGCAGCTAGTGAGTATTACCTTCATTTCATGAAATATTTATGGAGTACTTCCTAAGGCACTTGACTGCTAACCAGAAGGCTGGCAGTTCAAACCACCAGCCACTTCTTGGAAGGAAGGTTGGGCAATCTACTTCCTTAGTGATAACTGCCTCGAAAACCCAAGGAGGGGTCGCTGTGAGTCAGGCCTTAGCTCAATAGCGCATAATAGCAACAACAACAGCTTATGGACTAAGGAGCTCTGGTGGCATGGTGGATAAGGCATTTGGCTACTAACCAGAAGGTCAGCAGTTCAAAACCCACCAGCCACTCTGTGAAAGGAAGATGGGTCAGTCTACTTCTGTAAAGATTTATAGCCTTGGACACCCCATAGGTTCCGACTCACTGAGTCGGAATTGACTCGATGGCAGTGAGTTTGGGTTTTTTTCTGTTTGTTTCCTGTGGACTAGGACTTGTGCTGGCTACCATGGGGAGGAAGGTGGTCCAGAGATGAATCAGATGAGAATCCAGTAAGGAGGATAAACTATTTTTCTACTTAATTATAAAAGTATATGTAGTGGAAAAGATATATAGGTCAAAGGCTACATGAGACTGACTGACCTCTGGATCACATTCTGCTTCAACATGCAAATTATGTTTTACAAGTGTAACTTTAGGACATCTCATAGTAATTTGCTTTTATTCACTCCACAAAGACAATTTTCTAATTAAGACAATTTTCTCTCCCTCTTTTTTTTCCTTTTCTGAGAAATGTGTTGCATACACAGGAAATAACATGAGGAAGCAGACCCCAGTACCTGATAAAAAGGAGAAAGATGTAAGAGTGTTTTTCGTTTGTGTGTTTTTGTTTTTTAACTACAGTTGTTTCTTCTGTAGGGATGAGGGCTATTTAATTGTGGCATCAACCTGAGATTTGTTGTCAGCTCTGCTGAAAAACAGACTAATCTTTGAGGAATGGAAGCTTTACAGTGGGGTGTTTACTAGGACCAGTCTGCTCACATTCAGTCACGATGGCAGGGAAGGCTGTCATTTTTACCACAAGAGAGACATGGAGTTGATCTTTGGGTATTTTTCCCCAAGGCTCTGGTTAGATACTAGAACATGGCTTTCTACTTTTTCAGAGCTGCCCTAATCAAGTACAACAAGAGGTGGTAGCAGTTTTAGTGAAAACAACTGTTTTTCTTTATTTCTAAGGAGGTTTCTAAGTTTTGGTGCATGTACTTTAGATATTAGGATTATAAGATTTCTTGTAGACATTTATTTTGTCTTGTCTTCTGTGCTTTTTTTTCTAGGAGTTTATTCAGTATTTTAAATCTTCCCCTAAAGTGATTTTACTTTCTCCTTTAAGAGTGCCTTGTATCTGTTTTTTCACTTAGCCCTTTGAAGTGGACCTTTCCCATGTGTATCTTGCCTATACAGAGGAGAGCCTGCGGCAGTCCTTGATGAAATTAGAAAGGCCACGGACTTCAAAGGGAAAAGGCAGGCCAAAGACAGGGAGAAGGTAAGGAGTTGTTGGGTCACATGAAATGAAATCACTAAGATACTTTGAATAGATATATTTCAAGGAAATGAAATATATTTAGTTAATATGATAAATATTTTAGCTGATAAAATACAAAGTTAAACAAAGTAAACTATAATACAAAGTTAAGAAAAACTGAGTTAATTTTAAAGTTCTTATATAGTTATAATTCAAGTAAAATAAAATCTGGCTAAAGAATTAAGGTCTTCTAACTTCTTTAGGCCTCCTGGGTAATAGAATTTATTTTTATAGTTTACTTTGTTCTTTACAAGGAGCGATGGTGGTACAGTGATTAAAGCCTTCAGCTGCTAACCAAAAGGTTAGTGGTTTGAACCCACCGGCTGCTCTGTGGAAGAAAGATGAGGCAGTCTTCTTCCATAAAGGTTTACAGACTTGCAAACCCTATGGGGCAGTTCTACTCTGTCCTGTAGGGTTGCATGAGTCAGAGTTGACTCGATGTCATTTTTTTTAAGGGGGGTTGTTCTTTCCAAATATATAATAGATCACCTGCTATCTTGTTTAATTTCTTAGATTTTACACTTAATTCTTCTGTTAATTAGCTTTTACAAATGTTCTACAAGTTAACATTTTTTTTTGTTTTGGGTCTACTTAGACTCCCAAGGTTTTCAGCTGATTAATTTTTCTATCCTAAACATTGCCTCAAGAACTTTGATTTCCTGTCATGACTTAAGGAAAACTCTGGCCATCTCTCTCTCTCTTTTGGGCCTTGCTCTTGGCTATTGGGTAATCTTCCTTCCCTTACATCAGTGCTATTCAGCTTAAACAGATTGTAAGACTTGTGGCCCTTGAAGTGGTAGGAAATAATAAGCTTGTTCTTTTCCTATTTGAATACATGGTCTTTTGAATTATATGTATGGTGAAAGTGTATGGTTTCATTATTTTTGAATTGTATAATTTCACAGACATAAACCGAACATTTCTAAATACGGCATAGTTGAACTTGGGAGGATAAGTGGTTTCATATTTAGTGAACACATTTTTACATTCTTTAGCATTTAGGCCAGGGATCAAAAACTATCATATGCCTGCAGAAGCCATGCATATAATACAATTTAATGAAGCAAATCAGTTATATGAAACACATCTATTTTCACTTTTAATAGAGATATTTTCCTTTTAACTCTGCTGTAAGAAAAACAGCAGTGTAAGCGTGATGATAAAACTTGCCCTCAAGTTTTAGAAGAAAAATAGAAAGTGGTGGAAACTAGGGCAAAATGGAGAACTGTTCTGTCTAAAGAGAGTGGCTGCTGCTGTGTTCCTAGTTATGGGGATAGGGACCTTGTTTCTGGAACTTCTCATTTCTGAGGAGAAGTCAGAAATCCACATGGTTTATATGAAATCTCTCAACTTTCCATCACATTTTTTTTTTTAACTGGGCAGACAAATAATTGGATAAGATTTGGAGAAAGTTTTCTAAATCTCATTTTAAAATATGTACTTTTTGCTCTAACCTAAAAAAAAAGTATGAGTCAACATGAAGTGAGCCAAACCTAGCTTCTCTGTGTACTGGACTTAGCTCAGTATGTCCTAAAAACCCGAAGGACATGGTAGGTTGACCATAAACATAGGCAAATAATCACAATAAATGGTTTATTTATATTACATTATATTAACATGGTATGTTCAGTGTGATATACCTTACTCTCATTAAACTCACTGCCATCATGTTGATTCCAACTCATAGCGACCCTCATTGATTTCTAAGTCTGGGTTTCTAATCATTATGGAAGTAGACTGCTTCACCTTTCTTCCACGGAGCAGCTGGTAGGTTCAAATCACCAACCTTTTGGTTAGCAGCCAAAAGGTTAACCGCTATGCCACCAGAGCCACATACCTTATTAGTAATGTATGTTTTAATGTGCTGAGCAAAATTGCAATAAACATGGTACATTAATGTAGCATTTTCATCAATCCACATATATGTATCTGTGAAGAGTTGCCTCAGATAGTTTATATTTCTGAATTTTACTGAATAAGTTTGCACCTTAGCATACCCCAGAAGAGGTAATCAAGGGTTTAGTCCAGTGTTGGGAATTATCATCTCCCCACTCCCTCACCACTTTGGCATGATGCGGTGTGGCGTCTTCCTCTTGTACCTCCTCTAGGTGACCTTCCACAAGCGTGCAAGGGTGAGCATGAATTGATTACTTAACATAGTCAGACATTGACTTGTGTTTCCAGACTCTGTGGCCACCTTGTATTATCTACTACATGATGTGGGAGTGTTTGCATTTCAGTGTTTTAGGAAATTATTCATGTTTTCTCTTTCCTTTCTCCAAACAGAAAGCGTTCTGCAAAGCCTGAAACTGTAATCGACTCTTTACTTCAATAGATGTTAACAGACTAAAGTCACAATAAAAATTACTGGTATTTTAATGCCTGGATAAAATCTTTAATTAAAACACTGAAGAGTTCTGTGTCATTTTGAATAATAAAAGCTATAAATAATGGTGTATGACTGAAAATAAGAATTTGCTTAGTACCTTTAGTCTATATGTAGAGGTAACACAACATACTGAAATTGTACAACTCTAGGGATTGTTCACACTGTCTTACTCTTGAATTTGATGTTGAGGGAGCAGCTCATGCTATAGAGAGCTGCTGTCTAGATGTATGCGTAAATCTGTTAGCCGTTTAACCAACTGCTTTATATTTAGATAACCAGAATTTAATAACTGTATGTCCTGTTTTGCACATTTAAACTAGCAGATCAAGCAGTCCTGTGTTAGTTATACTGTTATATTTATATAGGCTGTACATCTAAGAAATGACTCAATCCTAATACTGACCTGCCCAGCCTGTTTAAATACGCCTGATTTTTATATTAACAGTCATTGCATTTTAAGTATGCGATGACTGATCTTACAGGTCTAATGTAGAAAATTTTATGATTTGACAGTCTTTGGAAGTGTACATGTTACAAAAAAAAAAAAAGGTTGAAATGTGTTTCATCTGAATCTCTTTTGACCTTTCTGTCACATTGAGTTCAAATCAGATATACTTTTTTTTTATTATGATTTCATGTTTTCTTACAACATTGAATTGTTTCTAAAGGGGCCAAAGTTGCAGAAAATTAAGAAGCTGAATACTGGTTACTTTATCTTTGTATGCATTTTTTTTTTTTTTTAATTTACTTGAAGAATGACATTAAAACACTGTCCTGTGTCTTAGTTTCAAATTTTGATGGAAATTGCTCTACGTCTCCCAATTGAAAAGTGTCTCCATTTTCCAGAAAATGCAACTAAGCAAGAAAAAGACTTTGTTTTGTTTTCCTCATAGTTTATAAAAAGAAAATTTTCCCTCTTGACTAATCCAGTTAAGACCATATTCCTATAAAAATAAAAGTTACTTTTATTTTGTAGTAAAATAAATTGTAATAGATAAAATTGTTCTTTCGGCGACTGCTTACAAAGTTTTTATTTTGTTTTGAAAATTATGCTGCTCCTACACCACTTAATATATGTTTTGTAAGTTTTAAAATGATATAATCAGTTCTGGAACATGTTGGTTGCAAATGTTTTGAGACATCATAAGTTAGTATTTATTAAGTTTACATTATTTTAATAAGTTTGTCCGAACATTGGTTTATAAGTAAAATCTTGTGAACCGCATACTGGTAAGGTGGTGGTAAAAATGTGTTCATAAATTTAAAGTACATTTCAGAGATAGAATACTAAATGTTCTGTGTATGCTGAGTACTTTCTGGGTGATACAGATTGCATTTAATTGTCAGCATTTTCTTTGTAGTGTGTAAGGTAATTCAAAGTTTATAACTTTACTCTGTGGGGCATTGTTTAGGTACTGTGAACACTTGAGGGTGAATTTGTCTTGTAAAACTTTGTGTGAGCAGAATGTCTTGGCACTTGTAAAAGTTTTTGATTGTGCACATTTACTTCTATTAGTAATTATTTAAGAGAAATCTTAATTTTACCATTGGGGGAAAAGAAAAGGTTAAGGCTTCTTCTTTTTAAAAGGAGTAGTTTTTGAGTTAAGCTGTAAAACACTATAGAAAATTTAAGCCGGTATGTTGAATTTCTTGCCTATTCTACCCCACCACAGTGATAGAAAGCAATCTATAAAAAGACAAAACATTGGAGAATTCTTAAAAACATGCAATTTTTAGTGGTTTTTTTCTGTAGGCATTTACATTAGAACTGACTATATACCAGGTAGCCATTAAAGATTCATTTTATGAGATGCCAAAATTGGACATTCAGTCCAGGCCTGAATACCTATATGAAAAAACAAGGCCACTGGCTTTAGAGCATTTGTTTAGTTCCAATCATGGCATCCCTATGGTTTCTTCACATTCACTGTGTCTTTGACCACAAATGAAATATATTGTGACTTCATTGTTAATTTTATGAAAGGATATAGCTGAATAAACTTGCTTGTTATTTGAAGTAAATAATGCAGATTGAAAATAAGTGGCACATACAAATAGATTACTGAATGTGCATTCCTTCTCTTTTCCTTTTAATTTAAAAAGTAATATTTATTTATTAGAAGGCCTTGGTAGAGTGTTACTGGTTTATAGTGTGTTCTTTAATAAACTCTGTAATTACATATATTAAATCTTTGTTGTTGTTGTTACGTGCCATGGAGTCGGACCCGACTCAATAGCGACCCCTCCTTGGGTTTCTGAGGCAGTATCACTACGGAAGTAGATTGCCCCATCTTCCTTCCGAGGAGTGGCTGGTGGGTTTGAACCTCCAGCCTTCTGGTAGCAGTCATATACCTAGGCACTATGCTACCAGAGCTCCCTATTAAATCTTAGGGTATTAAAATTGAGTACTCTCCATTTTTGTTTTGATTCTCCTGAAGTACAAGATTGATAAGGGTGGGCTATATCTGCATGTTTATATCACAAGTAGAATCCATGTGACAAGCTGTCTCTATTTTCTGGAAAAAAGGAATTTTATTCAGCAAAAAATTTAAGGCTGCTTTTTGGAGTTGGGTCAGTACTATTTCATCTGTAACCTGTTTTAAAATTATGATTATGATTTTCTGTGTGGGTTGTTTTGGGGGAGTGGGTTTTTTGTTGTTCTTGTTTTGTTTTTCTTGTTTCTCTTTAGTCTGTGTTAAATATCTTTTTTCCCCTTAACATTTATCTTAAGGAAAGTCCCTCTCTTTCCTACGAGGCTGTGAACTAAGGAATGGGTAGAGTTTACATTTCAGCACACAAGTGTCTGCCCAATTTTCTTAATGTATACAATTATTTTCCATTTTAATTATTTGTTGTTCTTAGACTGGTAGAAGAAAACATAGTTCTCTTAGTGCCTTTGAACTTACACTGTAGTCTGACCTACCTAATGATAATAAATCATTAATTAATAATTTCAGAAAATAGCATTACTACAATACTGTGTACTGGCCAAAATAACACATTGTACAGTACGTTTATTGTATTGATTTCAAAAGCCACAGTTTCATTTGTATTTTATGTATAAATTGTATTTGTTTTTAAGTTGTATATATGAGTATTGTATGTGTACATGCAGCATGGTTATGTAAGAAATAAAATCCTTACCTAATCCCTGTAGTGGTCTGCTGCTTTTGTTAACTGTTTTCGTGTTTACTCTCATCTTGAATTAATGGGCAAGCTCTTTCTACGTGGCCTCTTAGTTTTATATGATTAAGAGCAGCCTGTGTAATATCATAGTCAGAAGCTCTTAGTGCTGTGGGTCTTGAAAACAGAAATCATCATGAAACTGAAACTTGGGAGAGATGTTTTTAAATGTACATCTTCTCACTGATAAAAATTTATTTTTTATGAAATTTTTTTTATCCAAGTTTTGTTATCCTTTTCATTAGGTGTTTGAGACTAGAAACCAGTTCTCGAGTGATAACTTAGTGTGTATACAGAATTTATCTTGCTTCAGGTTAGAAGAGACATTGCTGAATGGGAACAATACTGTGCTCTTATTCAGAATCTTAAATGTGCTTAAAATATGTCCAGAACAGTAACATTTCTCGGGCTATTGTTAATCATATGTTCTTTTGACAGACATTTATCGATTACCAGGCACTATGCTAAAGCAGCCTTAAGAAATTTCACAGTGGACAGTGAGAAGTTTTGATTGGTCATCAAGTTTCAAATGACTGAAATGCGCTTTTTACAAAGAGAGGAGATACTTCTGGTCATTGAAGGATATGCTTGCTTCCATTTTCCATCTGCTAGCTTATATATGAAAATCCTAAATGTGCAAAAGCAAAGTTAAAGCCCCTGCCATGGCAAAAGCAAGACGCTGGATAGTGTTGCTGCCTTCCCACCTGCTGCCCTTCCCACCAGTTGAGCTTTGGAGCAGTGCCAGGAAAGTGCACCCTTAGGAAACCTGTTGTTGCCTGTGTTGTCGTGATGCTGCTGAGGGCATTGTCCAGCATATCTTCTTGTGAAGACTCTCAAGAAAATACCTTCTAAAGCTAAATACTAGCCTACGGGACTCTTTTCTACCCCTGGGTAAAAGAATGGTTTTTGTTTTGCTGTGGCTGACAGGACTGTATGAAATCTGATGGCCTGCTCATCTGTAGTCAGGTTTTTTGTTTTTTTTTCCCTCTAGATTATGTATTAGATTAAGTATTGTATGTGTACCTGCAGGATGTACAGATACAATTTCCTATGCCCTTTTTAATTTGGTGCTAATAATATTATTGTTTTTTGTTTAGTCTTTTCCCATAAAATCACTTTGAACCCATTGTTAAAACAAGGTAATGTGTTGTCAGTAATAGCACAGTTTGCCTGTGTCTTGCAGAAATAGTTGGCACATAAGCCTAAATATAAAGCTAGCCAGAGGAACATTTCACACATGTTTATTGTCACATTATCTCAATTTCTCATTCGTAAGTTGTTTCATTTGCAAAGCAAATCAGGTATTCCGTCTTCAATCGGAAGTTGAACAAATGTGTGGGAAAATCATTATGAAGAGGCTACTTCAAAAAGAACCTATTTTCCTCTCAGCTTTTATCTTGGGTTTCCTGTGACCGAATCTTCACGTTACTTTTATGAACCTTATCAGAATATCAGGTTGTCTTACCCAAACACATTCATGGCTCTGACTAAAGAATCTGAGAGATCAGACATTCTTCCACACCTGCTCCCCCCCCCCACTCTATTTTAGAGAGCTGGGGAAATTTCAGCTTTTAATCTAAGTCTTTATTTCTCCAGTTGTACAAAGGCATTCACCGGGACTTTACAACTGAATGAAATACTTCTCAGAGTTGATATCAATCTTAGCAAGAGGATATTGCCTAACCCAACCTAAAAATACCAGAGTCATTACAGAAATACTATGTTGGGCTTGATTTCTACTCTACCACGAGCTGTGCCGCTCA